TTCAAGCAATATCAAGCAGTTCATATAAACATTCACTTTGAAGTTCTTTAACTATTCTTTAACTTAAAAGAAATAATAGCAAAAAAAGATTATTAGCCAATTATTTCCAGTTTTAGTTTTGTATGTAATATTTTTATAATTAGACTTTTCTGCGATTAACCTGCTATTTAAAATTAAATTACTTGAATAATAAATTAATAATTGGCTAATCTGAGTATTGTATTTTTTTCTAAAAGAAAAGAATTTTTTTTCATTTTTTAAATTTCTTTTATTGATATATACATTATATTTATTTTTATTAATAACTATATAAAATTTATTTAGAACTCTTCTTTTTAATATTAATGGCTTCCAAAATAACAAAGATAAAACTACAAGATAATTTTATCCCTTAAATTTAAGTTAACATAATTAAATGAGTGTGTAACCATTATTTGCATCTGCTTAAAAACCAAGAGAATTTCATCAATGTCGACATTGAATATGAATATTATTTATTAGTAAAATGTGCAAATGTTTATTTATATTATATAAAGCGAAATTTTATATGATTAACTGCCTAATTAAAATATACATTTTCTTCACATAAATTTATAATAAATTATTCGTTTAAGATCCTCCATGCTCGTTTAATTTATCATTATCCATTACTATTTTTATATATAATTCTATCCATTACTATTTTTATATATAATTTATTAAATATGGTAACTTAATTATATAAAAATAAATTTTACAATTTTAATAAATTTTAAAATTATTTTTCACACTGAATATACATAAAATCAAATTACTAAACTGTTAGTTTTTATTTTCTCTTTATGTTCATTATTTTCTTTATTATCTTCATCATTTTATAAAGTTTCTAATTTTCCATATTTAGCTTCAAGTTTCGCAATCAATTCAGAATCGTCAAAATTTTCAATTTCTTCGTCTGTCTGCTCTTCTTCTTTCAACATTTTTTGTACAATTTCCATTTCATTTTTTTGTTTCATTTTGTTACTGTTGTTCCTATTTTTGTTATTTATTTTATCCCATCTTTTGTTTCTATTCTCTTCTTTTCTATCTTCTGTTCCTAATATTTCTGTTTTTTTTTCTTCTTTATCATCTTGTTTTTGTCTATTTTTTACTTTCTCTTCCATTTTCTGCTCTTCCTCTTCTTCTTCATCCTCCTCTTCCTCTTCCTCTTCTTCCTCTTCTTCTGCCTCTGCCTCTGCCTCTTCCTCTTCCTCTTC